TGGGTGAAATCATATGGTATGTGTCTTTTTCCATCTGACTTATTTCACTTAGTGTAGTACCCTTAAGGTCCATTCATGTTGTCAGAAATGGAGAGATTTCATCTTTTTTTAATGACTGAGTAATATTCCACTTGTGACATTTATCTCACATCTTCTTTATTGGTTCATCCATTGATGGACACTTAATTTGATTCCATGTCTTGACTATTGTAAATAATGCTGCGATGAACACAGGAGTGCATATATCTTTTCTTAGTGTTTTTGTTTTTCTTGGATAAATACCCAGAATTGCTGCGTGGGGGGTGGTGGTGGTGGTATGAATACTAATGGTATGGTATGATATGGTGGTATGGTGGTATGATAACTAATAAGAACCTGCTGTATAAAAAAATAAAATTAAATTTAAAAAAAAGATTAAAAAAATACCCGGAACTGGGTACTTCTAGTCTTAATTTTTTGAGGAATCTCCATACTGTTTTTCATAGTGGCCACACCAATTTACATTTCCATAAAAAATGTATGAGGAGGACTTCCCTGGTGGCACAGTGGTTGAGAGTCTGCCTGCAAATGCAGGGGACACGGGTTCGAGCCCTGGTCTGGGAGGATCCCACGTGCCGCCAAGCAACTAGTCCTGTGAGCCACAACTACTGAGCCTGTGCTCTAGAGCCCACGTACCACAACTGCTGAAGCCCGTGAGCCTAGAGCCCTGGATCTGCAGCAGGGGAAGCCACCACAGTGAGAGGTCCACGCACCGCAACAAAGAGTAGCCCCCGCTCACTGCAACTAGAGAAAGCCCATGCACAGCAACGGACACCCAACAACGAAGACCCAATGCAGCCAAAAAACCCCAAAATTTAACAACAAAACTATTACAAAAAAAAGTATGAGGGTTTTTTTTTCTCCACATCCTTAACAACACTTGTTATTTCTTGCCTTTTTGATAATAGCCATTCTAACAGGTGTGAGGTGATATCTCATTGTGGTTTTGATTTGCATTTCCCTAATAATTAGTGATCTTAATCATATTTTATCTTTATTTCCAAATCCGTATTTACTTAGAATTTTAGTCCTAAGCTCTGAATCTTCAAAATTATGAAATATTGGAAAAAAGTGAAAGAAAACTGACAGATGACTATTGGATTTGTTGAGATGACAGCAGAGATCCATGGTTTTTAAAATCAGTTTACTTGCTGACCCACTTAGTATTTTCTCATATTCATTAGTGATGAATAAAAATGTTTGGATATTTTTACTCTTTATCCCAACCATTGGCTGTTTTAGTACCTTTTTTACTTGAATCTGACATTTTCCTGTTGATTTATTAAATTTTTATGTTCCTCCTTGTGTTAGTTTCCTGGGGTCATTGTAATAAATGACCATAACCTTGGTGCTTAAGACAACATAAATGTATTCTCTCACAGTTCTGGAGGCTGGAAGCCCTAAATCAGTGTTCACTGGACTGAAGTCAAGCTGTTGTCAGGCCTGCACTCTCTCTGGAGGCTCCAGGGAGAGAATTCATTCCCAGCCTCTTCCAGCTGCCGGTGGTTGCCAGCATTCCTTGGCATGTGGCTCCATCACTCAAGTCTCTGCTTCTGTGGTCACACTGCCTTCTCTTTTCCTGTCTGGGTCAAACAGAAAACAGGGACTGGGACCTGATATCTTTAGTCTACTATACCTCCCCACCAAACTGCAATTTCCATGGGAGCAGAGCCCTTGTATGTGTGTGCTCATTGCTCAGAAGAGTTGGGAGCAAGAATGCCTGGCACACAGTAGGCATTCACTTAGTATTTGTCAAAGCAATCATTAATTATAGGGAATCAATTTGAAGAGCTTCCTTTAGAGTTGGGAATTTCTGTTTTATTCCAGAAGTCACATCCAATACCATTAGTTGGAATTTTTAGTGAGAGACTTCAGCTCATTTCAGAAAGAATATTCTAATAACGAGGCCTATCTGTCCATAGTCCAAGTTACTTCATGAGGAAATAAACTCCTTGAATCAGGATATATTCCAACAAAGATTGTTTTGTCACCTGTTAGGGATACTAGAAAATATATTTTAAAGTTAGGTGGGAAGGCGGTTTTACAGATAACAGACAGGTTTATCTTGTGTAACTAATCTTACTTCTTTCTATCTAAAGAACCCCAATTCTTTTTTGAAATTTCCAGAATTCTTATCTAAGGTTTTTTTTTTTTTTTTTTTTTTAACCCCACATCTCGCAGCTTGTGGGATCTTAATTCCCTGACCAGGGATTGAACCCGGACTCTCGGCTGTGAGAATGCGAAGTCCTTACAACTGGACTGCCAGAGAATTCCTTCTAAGCACTTTGTTAAGGTATTAGTTTTAAGACCACTGAAAAAGATTCCCATTTCTCTTTAATTTATATATATATATGGCTCCTAGTCTTCAAATCTAATTTTCAACATGGAATCTTGTGATAGATGTGAAATTATGGTCATTAAAAGAACGCAATTGGCTTTTTGTTTCATGTAGCAATACTGTCTCAGGGATGAATCCATATCCAAATAAATGATGTCTCTACATCAAAGCCGTTGTCCAGGAAATTGGTGATTACAAAATGCAAAGTTTGAAATCACACATAAAAGTCACTTAAATGGCCTTAAGTAAACCTAGTTTTTAGCCAAATATTTGTGCCAATTGGGATGTTTTTGTCTGCAAGTAATGAAATACATCACTAAAGTACCTTAGATTTATTCCCCATAACAAGAAGCCTGGAAGGTAGGGTGTTGAAGGCTGTAGCTGCTCCAAGAATTATGTCCTCACCCAAATAATCACAGCAAAGGAAGGAAGGGGGAGAGCCTTCCTTCTGCATCTCTTGTATTGTTTCTTTTCTTCTTTTCTTAAATCAGAGAGGAAAATCTTTCCCAGATGTTTCCCAAAGGACATCCTCTTCTGTCTCATTGGTCAAACTGGGTCACATAACCATTTCCATTAAGAGTGGAAAAGCCAATTGCTGCCACATTAACTGACCTCATGGACAAGAAGGGGCTCAATCTGTCCTCATTAAAAACAGATTCCTCAACCTAACATTTACAATGGACTTTGCAAAGCTCTTTCACTTAACTTTTTCTTCTAATTCTCATTAACACATCCAGTGATGTAGAGAGTTGGTGGTGGTGATGGTGGTGGTGGTGGGGAGTAGGGAAAGAACTAGGAACTGGAAGAACTGGAACTGGAAAAACTGGAAACTGGGTGTCGACTATTGTGGATAACCTTATCTACAGATGAAGGGACTGAAGCTCTGCATAGGAATCCTGTTTAAGATAACCTGGGTAGAAAGCAGTGATGCTCCAATATGGACCATGTCTAATGGTGACGATGAGGGTGCTTATTATATGCCAGGCATTGTGCTATGTTACTTTACAGTGATTACTTCATTTAATTCTCAACCCTATGAAGGAGGTAGTGCCTCTATTTGATAGATAAGGAAATTGTGGCTCAAGGTCACACATCTAATAAGCGCAGGTCTGTGATTAGAACTTCAGTGCTGCTGCCAGGGATGGGTACTTCTTTAAACTGTACTGCTTTCCCATATGAATTCCCATATTCTTTCCAGGACTATTGCCTCTGAGCTAAGCTTTTTGTGACTTAAGCTTCCTCATCTGTAAAATGACATAATTCTACCTACTTTATAGGGTTCCCATGAGGAGTGAACGTGAATCCACGAAAAGTAATTAACAAGGAGACAAATATAGTAGTCTGGCATTAATATTGTGGAACTTGGGCTTCCCTGGTGGTGCAGTGGTTGAGAGTCCGCCTGCCGATGCAGGGAACACGGGTTCGTGCCCCGGTCCGGGAAGATCCCTACATGCCACAGAGCGGCTGGGCCCGTGAGCCTTGGCCACTGAGCCTGCGCGTCCGGAGCCTGTGCTCCGCAACGGGAGAGGACACAACAGTGAGAGGCCCGAGTACTGCAAAAAAAAAAAAAATATATATATATATATATATTTATATAGTGGAATTTATCTCATTATATTTAAATTTCCAATTATGTCTTTTACCTACGCTACTAGACTGAGATCATCCATCCAGGACAGCAGTTCCCAAACTTTTGAGGCTCAAGGCCCCCTCTACACTCTTAAGAATTGTGTACCCCAAATAGTTTTTGTTTATGTAAGTTGTAGCTTTCATTACTGCATCGAAATGAATACTGAGAAATGTTTGCTCCCTTAGCTGTCAGAGTGATATACACATCATGCATCCTCTGGAAAACTTCTACTTATACTTGTGAGGGCATGAACGTGAGAAAGGAAGAAAATAAATGAATTATTAGGAAAATAGTTTTGACTTTATCGGAACCCTCAGGGTTCCCTGGATCACACTCTGAGAACTGCCGCTCTAGCTTAAGTGCTTCATGAATGATCAGATTCCGCTGTTTGGACAAGGAAACCCAAGGTCTGAGAGGAGGAAACAAAGCAGCACCAGAGCTACGTTCCACGCCTCGCGCCGCCCGGCAGCCTCGCTGTGCAGCAGCTACGTCTTTAGCAACCGCCCCCTCCACCACCAAGTCGCCGCTCTTCCCAGGGCGCGAACCCCGGCGCCCACACTGCTCCAGAGGCCCCTTCCCAGCTCGTTCCGCCGGGCAACCTTCGTCCCCGGCGCCCTGAGGCAGGCCCTGCCCCGCTGCCTCTCCTGTGTCCTGGCTTCCATGGCAACCGCGGCGCGCTGCCATGGCGTCACTCCACCCTCCCTCCTCGTCGGGCTAAACCATTCGCTTCAGGAACCTTCACAGGGGGAGATGGAAACAAGGGAATTTAATAGAACGTCTGCGCGCTACTCTGACCCCGTTTTTCTACCTAGCTTAAGTTATACACATCTTTTTTTCTCTTGCCAAATGTCCCTGCGAGTGTGGCGCTGTGTCTCGCCTGCTCGGTTCGGACGCCTCCTTTTCCCAGGCCTGCGGATGGGTCGGCCCGCCAGGAAGGCTAGCGGTCTGCGTGGGTTGGCACAGATGCGGGGGAGCGCGCCCGACGTCGCGCTCAGGGGGCGGGGCCAACGCGCAAGGGGGAGGGGAGGTGGGCAAGATGGCTTCTGGCGAGTGATTCTGCCTGGATACCTTCGGCCACCGCTGAGACACCGGGACGGGGGGTGCTGCCCCCACTGCTGCCCTGCTTCCTCTCCCCCGCCCCCAGAGACCCCCTCCTTCCCTTCCTCCTTCTACCTCGGTGGGGAGGGAGGGGAGGTGGGCCTGGTTCCTGGGACACCATGTCGGACTCAGAGGAGGAGAGCCAGGACCGGCAACTGAAAATCGTCGTGCTGGGGGACGGCACCTCCGGGAAGGTCAGTCCTCGAGCGGGCCCGCCGTGCCAGGCCTGCAGGAACCCCGGCCGGCTCTGGCGCCCTCCAGCCTCCTCCCCGCCCCCCCGGCGTCGCCTTATGTCCCCGAGCCCCGGGGCGTCTGGGCTTGGGCCCGCGAGGTCGTGGCCTGGGGTTCGACACTAACAGGCGCTTGGTGAAGTTCGTCGAGAGCTGTCCAGCTCCTCTTAAATTAAAAAAAAAAAAAAAAGTCATTGCCTAACCCCTGCCTGGATCTCGAACTCCTGCTTCTTTAAGACACGAGCCAGTATCGCCTCCCTGGGAATCTTTCCAGCTTCTCGCCTCTGAGGACTGGCAAGGATCTGCCAAGGCACCTTACCTCTTTTTACTTTAGTCCAGGTCACACTTTGCTCCTTTCCCCCCGTTTACCGTTTCTGATGGCTCCACTGTACTGGGATCTCCCAAGAACTTGACGCTGGAATCAGATTCCCTGGGTGAGAGAATTGGGGCTCCATCACTTACTCGTCGGATCATTGGAGGGCAAATTGCTATCCTGTTTGTACTTCATCTGTAAGATGGGTATATTGATAGGGGTCTCCTCGAAGGGTGAAGTGTGCAAATCCACATTAAATATGAAAATCTACATAAAGCTTTCATAACATGGTGTGCACTCAGTAAATGTTAGTTGCAGTTTTAGAGCATCATATCTGTTCATCTCTGTGCCCAGCACAGCACCTGTCAACACAAACATTCATTCAACAAATATCTATTGAACTCCTATTCTGGACTCGTTGCTGAGGGCAGAGCTGCTAACATGACAGAGGGGATCATTGCCTTAAAGTCTGTCTTTCAGTGACAGTTGGTTGAATGAATGAGAGTGAGTGCGTGAGAATATCTGGCAGCCAGTCCCCTTACCTCGTAGGCACAGGTCTTTAACCCAGGGTTGTGGAGCTCCTGAGATGGAATAAACATTGCCCGGTGCTTGCTCTTTGGAGATGGTCCATAAGATCTTAAAGGGTTCTTGATCCACGCCCCAAATAAGGTGGAGAGCCTCTGCCCGGCCAACCTTCACACCTGTCGCTCCTATCAATGGCGCCAACACTGTTTCTGGGAATACTGTTAAGAGTTTGTCTCCTTTCTTCTTCCATCCGCTTTCTCAACTAGAGGCTTCAGAAACGCTGGTTATTATTGTTACCAGTTTCCCGTCTTCGGCTTCACGTTTTCATGTTCCTGGTGTAGTTTGGACCCTGGTTCCTATGGTGACGACTGCTCGATACATCTTCCCTGGCAGTTGGCACTGCACAGCTGCTCCTGTCTTTCGTTCTGAGATTTGAGTTCCTAGGGCCCTAGGGAAAGGTGTCATTCATATGCAGGATTTGGAGGATTCTTGTTAATTTCTTTCTTGTCATCCCTGATATTTTGTTATTGATTTTTATTATTGAGGAAAAACAACTTAATATGCTCTGATTACTTTTAAACATTTTGAGGAAGAAAAGAACTAGGGATCACTTTTCTTTATAAAGTATTAATTATATGACTTTTTGTACACTTGTAACAACTTTTTGAATGGATGAGTTGTTTTAAATGAATCAGCATTGTTTCTAACACCCTTATTCAGTAAAAATTTTAAGTTCTATTTTTATAGTTTTCTTATTCGTATTTTCTTTTGAATGTCTTCTAATTTTTCATTTCCTAAATCTTTTTATGGTCAACTCATAACTGAATTTATTTCCTGTTTAAAACTATAATGACTGTCTATAACACTAATACATGTATAAAAAGACACAAAAATTTTCCATTATCTTACATTCTATCATAATTCTTTAAATTTTTGTTAATTTTTTTCCCAATATTCATCCATTATCATACATGTATTTTTCTGTTGAAATTTGTTCATAATTTCTATCTAGGTTTTTCATCTAGCCTGTCATACATTTTCCTCTTGTTACTAATTTAGTGTGAATAATTATGATTTTTCATCTCTGTCAAAAATTTTATCTAGTGTACAACAAAGCATACTTTTTTCCTTCTATATTATTGAATTAGGATTATCATTCTGCTTCAAAGGATAACAGTGATACTGTTTATGGCGTTCTGATTTAGTCTTTGTCATCTTGACTAATCTATTTTAAAATTGTAAAGATTGTTTTCTGCCAGAAATTTCTGGATACCAGCATCAGAAATCTAACCTTTTTTCATTATTCATATATCAGCTTTTGTTTTTTTCCATACCCTATTCAGTTTTCAGATTATTGCCGTATTATTGGCAGCTACCAACATTCCCATTCTATTTCTTTTACTGTTCTTTTCTATTATGAATTCAGCCTCTCTTTCATTCTTACTTGTATCCTGATTTAACTCCTGGCCATTTTTTCTAGTATCAGTTTTTCTTGCTAGTTCTAACTCAGGGCATTTTTATACACCCTTACAAAAGCAATAGAATATTGAGATGACCACTAACAGTTTATTCAAGAGAAATTTAGCTCCTCTTGCTATTAACACGTGTTTCTATTTCTTTCCTGTTTTGAGTCATACTTTGGATTTTATTATATACTTCTTAAGATTTTTTTTGAGGCAAAATATTCTTTTATGGTGTCTTTTCAGTATTAGTAAATGTAGTACGGTTAAAATTGTTAGCAAAAGTTCACCAAACAAAAAAACTATAAAGAATCAGAAAAAAAGAGTTACAGATAAGAAAGATGGTTGTTCTCTTCATAAGTGTTTAAAAAGGTTATTTATACAATGACTTCTGAGAAATTATTGAATGAGAAAGATAGCGTAATATCTAGATAATTGAAGAGGATGTGCCTCCTTCCCACTGATTCAGTTGCTTCTCTGATTAATTTTTATAGTGAGATGTCTGGAGATGGTATAAGAACCCATTTTAATATTCTTTGTTTGCAATGACCTATACTTTTGACAGATTGTACTCTATTCCAATTGAAAATTCTAGCTTTATGTTTGCCTCAAAAGTGTGAGACTTTCAAAATCTAGAAGTCCGATTTTTAGGAAAAGAAACACTAAGCTGAAGTTACATGTGCCTTGAGTTTGTCTTAGATATATAAAAGTGTTTCAGCCATCCATATATTAAACATTTTGAAATATCTGTAATAGTATAAGTAGTGTTAATTATTTTTCTCTAGAATTCTGAGCCTCTTCACAGATGATTTTGTGCTCTAAGTTAAATAAGCTCAATGGCATAAACAAGGCTAAATGAAAAAAGGATTTAAAAAAGAATGCTTACTTTTTTTTTTCTAATCTCTTAGCTTTTATATTATCAAGGAAGCCAAATGAATTTTCATTTTGGTGTAGTGAGTTTATTTCTGAGTCTAGCAGAACATCTTTCTTATGGTGCTCAATAAATATTTGACCAAATATTTTAGTGATTTCTTACAAATGCTGAGTATTTAAATATTACAAGAATTGGCGTTAGTGTGTGCAAATTGCCATTTATATGAAAAATATGGTTCTTATGTCAAAGGGATTTTAGGTCTTTTGTTTAAAGGAATTGAAGTTTGGCCAAGTTTTCTTTTGCACTACTGTACTTATGTTGTAATTAATTATAGTAAGCTATCTTGGAGATTTTATCTTAGTTTTCATTATTTAGGAATTGACATCTAATTTTAACTTTCAAAATAAGAAAGAGCTATTTTTCCTTAACTTTAGGAATCTGTCTTGAAGAGCATAAAAGCTTCATGAAACTCCCTTTCTCTTCTTTTTGGGGAAGTCTACAAATAAATAAATAATACATTTAAAATGTTTAAGAAGCTTTTGAGTTATTGAGTTATTTCAGTTGTTACTCGATTATTCTTTTGCTTTGGTAAGAAATGATACCCTAAAGAAACTCTGGAGTTTTGAATGTAACTTAGAGTTGTTATTTAAAAAATGTAGATATATATTTGTTCTGGTTATAATATTCTTGTGACTTTTAAGCTTTATGGTTCTTGGATGGAATATATTTATTTTTGTCTGCTTAATATTAATATTAAAAATATCAACTTCTTAATTTAAAAGATAAATATTACCAGTCATTCTATAGAATAATTTTCATTTAACAAATTTTAAAAATAAATTTATTTATTTATATTTTATTTTTGGCTGTGTTGGGTCTTTGTTGTGGTGCGGTGGCTTCTCTTGTTGCAGAGCACGGACTCTAGGCGCGTGGGCTCACTAGTTGTGGCACGCGGGCTCTAGAGAGCAGGCTCAGTAGTTGTGGTGCACGGGCTTAGTTGCTCCATGGCATGTGGGATCTTCCCGGCCCAGGGCTCGAACCCATGTCCCCTGCACTGGCAGGCGGATTCCCAACCACTGCGCCACCAGGGAAGTACAACATTTTTAATATAGAGAAAAATTAGACATGTTTCTTGGGGGGGAGAAAAGAAAGGAAATTCTATAAACAGGCTTTCCTCTCCTTAATTAGTTCTACTTCTTATTGGCTGAGGGCACAAACTACTCAGATGTTTAACCTCAGAAATGAAACATCTCTGAAAGTTGTATTGAACTGATATATAGGGACATATAAGATTCAGATCTTTAATCATGTTGGTTTAGTTTTCTCTGTTGATAATTCTCAAATTCAAATTTCCAGTAAGGTGTAGGGAGCTTGACAATCAGGGGATTGAAAGAGATTTAGCTGATTAGTCTGTTGTTGCCACTGATAGCTGGTTGGCAAGTGAAATTTACCTGGTGGAATGTTAAGTCCCTCTTCCCCTTGTAACTGATTAGAACTGCTTAAAGTTGCTTGATGGATTAATGGGAGTATAAATATTAAGATTACTTAATAAGATTTAGTAGTGATTTTATGTTTACATTTCTAAAACACATTAATTTTGATATTCTGTGCATCAATTTTTTAGACCTCCTTAGCTACGTGTTTTGCTCAAGAAACTTTTGGGAAACAGTACAAACAAACTATAGGACTGGATTTCTTTTTGAGAAGAATAATGTTACCAGGTAAGAGACTAAAATGTATTAACATAGAAAATTGTCCATATCTGACAATAAGAGACATAAGCAGAAATGTGTAAAATAAATTTTGGGGCTGTTTGAATGTGAAAATATATATAATCAGTAAATCTATCTTAGGGAGGTTAACTTTCATTAGCATCTACCATGAAGACATACTGTCCATGTGTGTAAGGAAAAAGTTTATATCCTCCCCACTCTCCCACTGTTTCTGACCACTGCACATTTTTTGTGGATAAACAATAGTTGCTTATAAAATTCTAAAGTTAAAAACAAAATCAAATGCCATGTAATTATCAACAGGTATTGTATGAACTAAATGTGAGAAGACTGGAAAGGATTATTTTTTTAAATATTATTTTGATTAACCTCTGCTTCAGTTTTTTGTTTGAGAGAAAGTTGGAACAGAAGTATAATGTAGCTATGGAACTTCTGTGCTCTAATATGTGAATGCTGTTTTATGCAAGGCAGCATGAAATTGCTGGCATTTAATAGACCACTAAAATTTAGGGTCCCTAGGCACTCATAAAAATACAGTTTGAGCATTCAAGATGTTTCAGTTCACCATGCAAAGAAACTATTTAGATGCCAGTTGCAGCACATTTTGTGGGAAATACAGGGAAATAATAACAAAAAAAGTGGTTTCTGTTTTAAGTTAGTTTCTGAACAATTGGGGCTTTAAAATGCTCTGTCTATTCACTTGTGCTTAAATTATATGTTTAAAGTATTTTATTAAAAGCAGTTTATCTTGATTGACTTCATAAACTAGTCCATCTTTCTCCTCTCTGAGGAAACACATTTGAATAAAAACAGTTGCAAGTGTAGTGTCAGATTCATATACTGGAACGTGAGTGATATAGTGGGAAACGGTTTAATAAATTATAATATTTTTGAAATATGTTAACCTCTCAAATACTCCATCTATCAAACAACTCTATGAATGTTTTAGAACAGCTAATGAAAACTCTTGGTAATTGAAGGTATTCTGCATATCTCACTAGTAATATACTCTCTTATATTTTGTGATGGTTGGTATTCGGCTACCAATGAAAAATAAATTAGAAGATATAGCTTGAGAAAAGAATTCCAGTTTGCCATTACTAAGTTATTATTCATAAAGAGGTTTAATGAGAAACGTGTATTTTGTTTCATTTGTATTTTCTTTTAATGTATTCAAAACTGAAAATCTCATTTTTATTATTCTCACTCTTATGGATAGGTTAATACTGCTTTCAGAATATTTACAACAGTCACTAGTAGAATACATGTACAAATCACATAATATACATACTGAAAACTTATTTTGCAACAGTTTTTTCAGAGATGCCAGTTGTACACAGAGAGCCTCAAAGTGTATTTAATTACTGACTGTTTTGTTTTCGATGCTAATTAGCAAAAGCACTAACTTTCTATATTATTAATATTGTTTAATTTTTCTGATTTTTCAGTTCAAAGACTTAAATAAAGGAGCAAGCATCTACGCAAACATTAAAAACATTTTAAGACTGGTTTTGGACATTTTATATATGTAATATATATGATAATTTCTGATTTTTTGCACAATACTACTGATTTTTAAATTTTGATGACTTTGTAAAAAATATTTGGTATTTTTTAAATCCAAATTTATAATATATTTTAGAGTTAGAAAGTACTTAGGTTAAAAATAACATTAGGAAATATATACTCTTAATGAATATATATTTTAATTTTCCTGATTAAGGTTTTATTTTGATGGGCAGAGTTCCAGAAAAATATCTTTTTTTATAAAACGGCAGTTGGTTTTATTCTATTTAATTGACTCAAAATTGTGGTAGAAATTTCAGTAAGAAAAAATTTTTTAATGTAACTTGATTTTATATTAATAGGTACATTAAGAAATGAGGTTAATAAATTAAAAGGTTTATATTATACCCTTTATATACTTTAACTTTAATTCATTGTATCTAAGGATTAATATTTGTATCATTTGCTAAAACATTACAGGCAGCATTAATTGAATTTATGGTACAGCAGCATAGGAGGCAAATCTAATATTTGTTAGTATTCTAGTAAGTCTTCTGTCCATTCAGATTGTTAGAGGTGTAATACCTCCTGTTCATCTATTGACATTCTCTTCATGCAAGTTTTCAAGGTCATTACTCTGCAAATACTCATCCATGTTAGTATATTTCATGATCTGGTATGCTGTATAGTCTGGATGCAACCACTGTGCAGATTTTACTGCTTAAAATAGTGTATCTGTTAGTCAGAGATTCTGCTGATAGAGCTTCTTAAGAGCCTTAGTCAAAATACTTTCAGGAAGCTTGTGGGTACAGTCAGTAAACAGTGTTCTACTGTGAAAAGGATTTCTAAGTCTTTAGTACAAGAAGTGGGCAGACTTGTGTTTTTAGTTCCATCTTGACTATGCAGCACTTTAAGTAAGGTTAACCAAGGCACCAAGTGTACTTATACAAGGTCACTGTTGAATCCTCTTGGTGGCTTTGATTCATACCAAAAGCAACTTACCTGTATTTTGTCACCTCATTTATTTATTTTTTTCCCTAGTTAAATGTCATTGCTTACAGAAGAGCAGGAATTTTCTAGTATTTTGCATTTGGGATTAGATTGCTGACAGTTTCCTCCTTAACATTCTTTATTAGTTACAAATTTATATTAGATGGATTCTTGGTTTTTAAAAATTTTTCAATGCTGATTATTTGAAAATTCTTATATAGCTTTATAGGCATGTCATTTTGAAAATATACTGGAAGCCTTCATATGTTTTTGCTTGCAAAAACTAAAAGGAATATTAATTTGAATTCTATATTATTTTGTTTCCCAAATAGGAAACTCCCATTTATTTTTATTTTTATGTGTTAATAAGCCTAAAATTCACATGTGGAAGTTAAAAATACTTTTCTAGATACATGAAATAACTATGAAGTTAATATCATTTGTTGTAGCTATAACGATAGCAAAAGTTTATTTTTTGGCTAGCATTGTGTATTAGTGGGTTATTAGTATTGCATAGCTGTTTTTATCTGAGGCACTAGAATATGTGTATTAAAGAAAAACAAGCCAAGAACAACAAACAGTGTTTATTTGGAAAAGTATGGATTTAAAAAATATCCTCAGCACACAAATATAAACCTCTCAGGTGGGAGATAGTTATAAACGATTTAGGGTCAGTCTTGAAATGATGTAGTCAGAATTTGAAAACATGTAATGAAGATCATGTTTCTAAAGTTACAGATAGGATAGGATCTAAATATCATAACTAAATATCAGAACTTAAAGGAAAAAAGCTTCATATTTCTTGATATGAAGTTAAGTGATTGGATTTATTGACCTTGAAGAAAATGGGATTAAATGCCCTTTATTAAGTGTTGCCTAAAATCTTACTTAAAAAAGTTAATATTGTTGAGTACTGTTTTTTTGAGTAAACAAATAACAAGAATTTTGAGAGTAAAATGAACAGAGTACTGCCTGTTTATCTAGGGGCTTCTGAAACTGTTTGATATAGTGTCGACTAGCCCCTTCTCACCTGCTTAATTTGAGACAGCATTGTAGGAGAATGAATTTTGAGTATCGAAAAATTTAGATTTTTAAGATATTGGGTTTACATAAGTTGTTGCGTAAGTCTTAGTCTGTGACGTTTTGATTTTTTTATTCATAGACCTTTAAGAACATTTCGGTCATTACTCTGTGAGCGTTGAAAGTGTGTATATTTGGGAATGATGATGGGTAATGAACTTTAGTAGCTCTCATTAACGCTAATGGAAGTTGCTCATGTAAATCCTCTGCAGGTTGGCAGATGGAACAGACCTACATCCAAATAATGGAAAGATTGTAATACAGACCCAACAAGACTTAGAGTTAAGGGTAAAACTTGGCTGCTTAATCCAGTGTCGTACTTTCTTTTCAGTTGCAACGTTGAATGGTGTGACTAACATTCTCCAGTTTTAGTGTTTTGCATTGGCATAAAAATTCATATCTATATAATCCTTTTCTGGTTTGTATTTGAAGTGAGACTAGTTTCTTAGTGTCTAAGTTTTTGAGTTTTCCTGATTTGCAAATCATTCAGAAAGATACATTTTTGGTGTGGGAGCTCATTTTGAAGGTAGATTTTGTCTGCCTTTGGAGAAAGCTGCATAATTTTATTAGGAGAAATAGTTTGAAATGTTAAACTGTAAAGCATATCGAACTTGATCTTTAAATTTTGTAATTGCATTGATAATAGAGAATAACATAATTTTTTTAATAAGTAAATATTTTGCAAAATGGACAAAAGAATTTTAAAGATTGCCCTTTAGTATTTTAGAATGCTTTTATATGTTTGTATGGGGAAGAGATTTGTTAGACTATTTTATGAGGGCTTTGAAGCACATATTATAATTTGTTTCAGTGGAACGCTTTGAACAGGTATAAATGCATCATAATATTTAGTGATATACTGGGTATGTAACCTACATCAGTTCTGAAGAGGGCTGTCAAAATGTTCATATTTTATAGGTTAAATTTCAAAACATATAATTTTAAAATTATGTTCACTATTGTATATAGTAGCTGACATTCAAATTTAAAAATTCATTGAAGTTGAAACTGTGGGACCATTTTTGTAGTCTATTAGTAATCTGTGAGTTTTAGAACCTATGGAGTTTAGAACTTACAGGAAAATTCATTATGTGCAATAAGGTACATTAGTATATAAAGTTCACTTTTAATTTTTTTTTTTTTTGCGGTACGCGGGCCTCTCACTGCTGCGGCCCCTCCCACTGCGGAGCACACGCTCCGGACGCGCAGGCCCAGCGGCCACAGCTTACGGGCCCAGCCGCTCCGCGGTACGTGGGATCTTCCCAGACCGGGGCACGAACCCGCGTCCCCTGCATCGGCAGGCGGACTCTCAACCTCTGCGCCACCAGGGAAGCCCACTTTTAATTTTTAAATTATATATCTTATTCCACATATAAGTGCTTTATTTTATGCTCTGTTTAAGAAAAGAAATTCTTTGAGGTTTAAGAAGTTTGTGAATTAAAGCTTTTTTTATTTTCTTCTGTTTTGAAGGTGATTATAAATGTGGTTTCATGGAAATGGGGTAAAGTGTAAATCTAAATTTCCCACTGTTATCTCTTTTGACAACATTATTTCACAATTCCAAATATGTGACCGTGTGAACATGCAGGATAAAAGACAAATTAGGTTCAGAGTTTATCACTGTGACTTAATGTTCTGTGCAACTGTATTCAATTGTTATATTGTTCCTTAACTTTTTTTGTATTCTTAGTTTTATATTCATTTTTTTGTACTCTAGGAAACTTGAATGTTACTCTTCAAGTTTGGGACATAGGAGGGCAGACAATAGGAGGCAAGATGTTGGATAAATATATCTATGGAGCACAGGTATGAAACAAATTGTATGATTATTCCAGTACTGAAGATACTCTCCTTACAAACACACAAGCAGGTACACACACACATACATGCTCTTTCTACCTTGATTTTTATCTGATACGTAAGGAGACTGATTTTACATTTGTGCTAATCCTTTGATTTCATCCTCCCCCAAAATCATGCTTGGAATGATTTGGGTCAGGGAACTGGATGACTCTAATAGCTTTCATACGCTACTTATATTACTAATACTATTGTCAGCAGTTGAATACATGCAGTGATAAATGATATTTTGATATTTAGTAACTGATTTGGTTCTATGGACTACTTACAGAATACATAAATTGAATGATAAATATTAGAGAGGAAAATTTAATTTCATTTTAAGTTGTAAGGACAAAAAGCATACATATATGCCTATATATTTTTGTGCCGTGAATTAGTCTATTAAATATTTATAGTTCTTCAGATTTAACAGATATATCAATATATTGTATCAGAAAGCTAAATATGACTAATTATATATATGAAGCACATACAGCATTTTAACATGATAGTCATGTGTGGTGTCTTTTCAGAAGAAAATCTATGTAGAGTAAGAAAACCACTTGAATGATTATATAACAAAAATTCTTTGGTATATTAGCTTATATAGACATAATTTATAAGTTTTAAAATTAAATTATACAAATAGAAATTATACATAGTAGTAATATACTTAACAAATTAATTATTGACATGCTGTTTATTTTCGCTTTTCTACTTTGAGTTAGTGTGTATCTTTCATGTGATCATGAGGTATTGGGGGGATAATATTCATAATCCTCACTTAGTTTTTCATTGGAGTTCGATATTTTAAGTTGAGAATCATAACATGGTTATGTGGAGCTGGGTTGCTCATAAGAAATGAATCTAGAAGATGAAGACAGAATATTAAGCACTCTGCTGTATGAAGTTTGATACTTAACAAATACCATTGCCTTAATTTTGGATGGAAAATAGATTCTGAATTATAAAATATTCAGAGAAGGATGAGGCTCATATGGTTCTTAATCATGTATGAAGGCTCTAGGGTTTTGTTTTTTGCGTTATTGATATATAGATTTGGCTCTGAGAACCTTCTTTGCCTCTTCTTCTACATTGTTCTTTGTCTCCTGGAAAACATTTCTGCTCACTTAACATTTTCACTTGTGACCATATGACTTAATATTTTATGACTGCTCATTTTTCTCTTAAAAAATATTTCTCAGATTTTTGTGTCTGGCTTTTTCATTGTTGTTTGTTTCTGTTTTAAACTGATTATGTTTAAAGTGATATTAAGCTAAAGAAAAATTGCTGGACAGAGATTTGTGGGAAGCCACAGTCCTTGTTTCATTCACCTAGTTGGTAAAAGGGGATTTGAAAATAACAATCTCTTTCCTCTTTGCTCCATTAAAATCTATCTTCATAGACACATATTGGATTTAAAAAAAATGAAAACTAGATTAGTCAAGCTTCTAATGATATTTGACTCTGAATGTCAAATAGATTAGCTTTTTATGGTTTATAGATATATCTAAAGTTAGTGGAGAATGGGAAGTTTTTATGCATTTCAGAGTAAATAATAATAAAACATTCAATTAATACATTTTTTTCACTTAAAAATTAGGGGAATGTAATGTTTATGGGTTAGACTCTTAATTTTACCTTACTTTAAATCATTAAAAAAATTTATTGTTTGATTTATAGAAAATTTAAATTTATTAATACAAAATTATTATATAAACATTAGTGTTGATATGACATTCACATAATATAAAATTAACAATTTTTAAAGTATATAACCAGTGGTATATAGTACATTCACAATGTTGTGTGACCATCCCGTCAAATCATTTCTTTACAGTGTATGTTTTATGCTATTACATAGCTGCTTAAAGTCAGCAGACATTAATGGGCAAATTTGTAGAAATTTTAAAAAATTCCATCATTTTTGAGGATACTTGAGTTTAGTGAAATGTCTCTGTTCTTTTCTAATGTACTTCACATCTTGGGAGAAAGAGAATGTCACATGAGATTTCTATTTCGAAGGTACATGTTGATTTTTTTCTCTTTTGACAGTGTCTTACATTGTTTATACTTTACAATCTCTGTAAATCATATACCCTGTTTTATTAAAAAACAATGTAATAAAGTATTTCTAGGAATTTCATGAACATTTTCATGAAAGCGTCCCAGGAAAGTAGGAATTTTGAGATGATAAAATGAGTTGTCATAAATTTTCTCTGCTTTCCAGAGATTCTAAATTAAATGCTATGTAAAATACAGTTAAGTACATTTGCCACTAGTTTCTTTTGTTAAAATACATGTAAATTTTTTACCCAGGCCAGAGAAGCTCAGACTACAGTTCACTACCATAAATTGGGAGAAACGTTACTTTTAAAAAATACAGTGCTTTCATAAACATTTTAATAGCTTTTAATAATTTTATATAATTACATAACTATTCTTCAAAGTAGATCTATACTGTTTCTAGAGTTGTTGTAGATGCTGTACATTGCCCATCTCACGAATACTTTGGATTTTTGTGCACATGCTACATGATAGAAATCTTTGAGAAGTGTTTTGACAAGCTGTTTTGAGGACATCAGTATAATGTCTTATTTAGGATTTTGTTTTAGGTTCTCTAACTTATGTAATGTGTATGGAAAGAATTATCTTACACGTATCTGGGCTATTAAGCTATGTGAATTCATTTTTCTAAAGCATTTCTTATCCAGGAAGAAGCTTATTTGTAGGCTGGAATTAGCTTCAAATAAAGCTGATTATTTTACCCTCTTCACTTTTTCCCCACCAGTTGCATTAAATTTTAGTGATAGTGTATTGAATAGTGTTGGTTGAAACAATATTGAATAGACACCGAAGAACGAATTAGTGAGGTATTTTGTCAGAAACTAGTTCTAAGAACTGAAGTATGTCCCAGTTAAATTCCCAGAGTTTAAATTAACTTAAAATTTTCTAGGAGTCTTCAGAAAGATGTTATAGGCTATTTTTCATAGTGGTTACAAGCAAACACACAGTACATAGTGTTTAGTGCCCTGTAACCTGTGGCTAACAGAGGCTAATAACAAGCCTCAGAGAAGGACTGGATGTTTCATTTTTGTAGCTCTTTCCATCCTGGAATCTAAGTGGTTTGCAAACACTACCCTACTGAGTATAAACTCAATGAAGTGTACTCATTTGTGAGGTAGAACATAACTACTATTGTGTACCAGTGCCCCACACGGATGAGTCACCCTGTTAACCACCAACAAAAGCCTGTGGTGCCAGTATGACAACTGGGGAGAGAGCATATCTCAAAGTTGGACTCCCTGAGACTCTCTGCTGTCTTTTACCATGAATTTTTCATTGGATATTTGTCAACTTATAACTTATTATATTTACAGACCTCTCTTGCATTAGTGTTCCTTCTTACAGGTTGTACTTATACAGCAAAGTACAGTATATGTTGTTATGACTATTGTATAATCTATATGATTTAATTGATTTCTATATATAATTAAAAACTAAAGTAGATTATTTGTTGTACAAATCAAGGAGAAAAAAATACCTGTATTTTGGAAATGGGTAACTTTCACTAAATTGTATGTACTGTATCTGTTAAATTTTAGAACTAAATTTTGAAATACCTTATAATACTGTTAAGTGTTGCCACAGTGTTTGTTCCTTCAAGACTGCTGTCAGTTATTCCTTTGAAAATGGTATCCATTTGGTTTACTGACTCATCATGCTTACTAGATATGGTGATAAGTGAAATAGATGAAAACAAAGTACTATATAATATTATGTAATATTTACTAAAAGTCTTAAGGTTTATAAAGAGAAGGGGTGGTAATATCTTTTGGCAGTTGCAGGGGCGAGGTGGGGAAAGCGAAGTTAAGGCATAGAAGATGGAGGAAATTTTTGTGAAGAATTCAAAGATGTAGAAGGATTTATTAAACTTGAAGTCTCATTTCCAAAAGTCATGGCAGAAAGGTTTAGAAAGAGGAGCAGGTGGAGGGTAAATTAGGAAGAGGAAGCACAGGACAGTATGGGGATGAAGACATAGCAGAAGGATAAATGGTGGATAGGTGATAAAAGAGGGTATCAGGGACATGAGATATGGTGGTGGGTTTGGATGGCCACAAGGTTGCCAAGAAACAGTTATTTCCAGCAGTTCCCCGTAGATTCTTCTTAGACTTGAGTTGTTGCCAAGATGTGTTGCATTTCCGAGGGAGTTGTACTTTCTGATAGTTTTTTGAAAGGAATCAGAAGAGAACTGGATTGATTGATGGGGTGAGAGACTCAGGGGTTTGAGGGTACTTATATTATAGGCTCCCAAAGAGATGAGTACTTAGAGGTCTGGCTTTGGTGTGCTGAAGCTGGTGGGTAGAGGCCCTGGGAGTCCATGGCAGCTTGTATGAGTTTTGGTAGTTAGTGTGTTTCAAAGAAGTGGTTCATTTCATCTTTGTTTTCAAATTTTGGGCTATGGAGTTGTTCATATTATTCCTTCATTATTTTTTTAATGTCTGTGGGAATCAGTAGTCATGACCCCTCATTAATTTGTGCCTTCTCTTTCTTTATCTTTCTGTCTCTCTGACTCTGTCTCTGTCTCTCTTTTTGGCTAATCTGGCTAGAGGTTACCAACTTTTGGTTTTTATTAATTTTCTCTGTTGTTTTCCTCTTTCCAGTTTCATTGATCTCTGCTCTAATTTTTATTATTACTATTTTTTCTGCTTGCAGTAAGTTTAAATTGCTCTTCTTCTTCAGTTTTCTAAAGTGGAAGCTTAGATTTTTGATGTTTCTTCTCTTCTGATATATTCATTCAGTGCTCTACATTTTCCTCGAAGTACTGTTTTTGCTGTATCTTCAAGTTTTGATAGGTTGTATTTTATTTAAGATATTTTAAACTTCTCTTGAGGCTTCTTTTTCGACCCAGGTGTTATTAGAAGTATGTTGTTTAATTTCAAAATATTTTGAGTTTTTCCAGC